TTTTTTTTTTTTTTTTTTTTTTGAAACAAGCCAGCATTTTAGGCAACTGGGCCATAGCCCGTCTTACATGTGCCTTTTCAGTGCTGACCTAAGGCCTCTAAGGCTATCTCAGCAGAAGCAACTGCCCATCATCCCATGGCCTCTGCAATCCGGCTCAGTCTCCCTCAATGTAGGGGTTTGTCCCTTTGTGCACGTGCACCTGCGCACTCAGCTTTTAGGCTGCCGCAAACCTGCAGGAGTCACAGTGAAGGAGAGAGTAGTGTTGGCTGCCTTAGAATGACCTGCAGTTAGAATGTAAGTTGTAGTGGGTGGCAGAAGAAGAGAAACTCATAGTAATCCAGCAGCTCACATTACCTTGGTACTAAACCTGAACTGAACATTTAGTTCCACTGACTTTGTAAAGGCTGGTATATTGAAAAAACCCAAACACACACACACAACCCAACAACCTTACCGAAGTTACTACCATGGTGTAAAACAGTATCGATGTCACACACCTTCAGCCCCAAATTTAACTCTTTCAAAGAGCGTCTCATTTCATTTGTCAAGATGTTCATTCTTTCACATTCCTGAAAGGCCACCACGACATACGGGGTCTTCTCTGCTGCTTTAGCCATGATTTCCAGCATATTAAATGGCTCGGGTAGCTTGTCAATGATTTCATCTAGGACTTGCTTGACCTGTAATACGTAACACCATCAAACATCTTTAGCAAGGGAACAAATTCCACGTACAGGGCATGTAAAATGTTGTTCTTCCATTGATTTAACATTTTCAGTCTCCTGAAAGAATTTATCACTAACCTTTAATAGCCTAGAATTAAATTGGCAAATGAACGTGGTCTGTAGCGTCCACCAGAGCCTTAGAATCAAGAGAGAGCAAACTGGGCAAGGTTGGACTTGCCCCTCCACAGGCTGGCGCTCAAAACCATCAAGGGTTGAAGTGGCTCCTGTTCCATTAAGTAACGAAGCTGGTGCTGCTCCCATGACTCTGTGGCTGAGTGGCATGGTACAGCAAGAACCCAGCCCAATACACCTTTCAGCTCACCCAGGGGAATGGCTGCAATATCCACTGCCTGATTAGGATACAGCCCACTCTGTGACCACATGCTTTGCATGGTTGTACGCGCTACATACCTGTTGATTGGCAGCCAAAGGGATATGAGCAGAGGTCAACAAAGAAGTGGAATGCAGCCTTAAAGACAGATTGTTCTGGAGAAGATTAGGTTCAGCAGCTGCCTGCATTTCATTTTTATGGTTACAAATTTCACCTGCTCATAATCAGCCCATAAGTACTCTCTGCCACCTACCTCAAAGTACAGTAACTGAGCAAACTCCCCACGTCACTAGTAATATTCATTATTTTACAGGTGCAGTGCTAGAATCGTAGACTTGTAGGCCTGGAATGGACCTTGAGAGGTCTTCCAGTCCCATCTCCTGCACTCCAGGCAGGACGAAGTATTATCTAGACCATCCGGTGTTTGTCTAACCTGCTCTTAAAAATCTCCAGTGATGGAGTCCACAACCTCCCTAGGCAATTTATTCCAGTGCTTAACCACCCTGACAGGAAGTTTTTCCTAATGTCCAACCTAACCCCCCCCGCTACAATTTAAGCCCATTGCTTCTTGTCCTATCCTGAGAGGTTAAGAACAACAATTTTTCTCCCTCCTCCTTGTAACAACTTTTTATGTACTTGAAAGCTGTTATCATGTTCCCCCTCCCGCCCCGTTGTCTCTTCTCCAGACTAAACAAACCCAATTTTTTTTCAGTCTTCCCTCAGAGGTCATGTTTTCTAAACCTTTAATCATTTTTGTTACTCTTCCCTGAACTTTCTCCAATTTGTCCACAGCTTTCCTGAAATGTGGTGCCCAGAACTGGACACAATACTCCAGTTGAGGCCTAATCAGTGCGGAGTAGAGCAGAAGAATTACTTCTCGTGTCTTGTTTACAACTCTCCTGCTAGTACATCCCAGAAGGATGTTTGCTTTTTTGCAACAGTGTTAACACTGTTGACTCATACTTAGCTTGTGATCTACTCTGACCCCCAGATCCCTTTCCGCAGTACTCCTTCCTAGGCAGTCATTGCCCATTCTGTATGTGTGCAACTGATTGTTCCTTCCTAAGTGGAGTACTTTGCATTTGTCTTTCTTGAATTTCATCCTATTTACTTCAGACCATTTCTCCAGTTTGTCCAGATCATTTTGAATTTCAATCCTGTCCTCCAAAGCCCTTGCAACCCCTCCCAGCTTGGTGTCGTCCACAAACTTTATAAGTGTACTCTCTGTGCCATTATCTAAATCACTGATGAAGATAGTGAACAAAACCAGACCCAGAACTGATCCCTGCAGGACCCCACTTGATATGCCCTTCCCGCTAGCAGAACTCTGGATCCAAAGCGCAGGTGGATAATCTGGTCCCATTGTCTCTTTACCCCCAGCGGTGGGGG